CATCAGTGGTCACTATAGACTTCAAAAATGCATCACCTTCGTCTTCAAACTGCTGTAGGAGATGACTGGCAGCTTGCATGCACACCATTTTGTTCACGTCCATCAAAGTGTGTGGTACCCACCGTGCATTCACCTTGTGATAGTGCAGGTGGTATTTCACGGTCTTCTACACTACCAACACTGATGGACAGCATTGCTCCAAGTTCCTTGATAGTGATGCACCTATCCTCACAAGTAAGCGTGTCTGCACGATCAATGTTTGTCTCGGCGACTGATGTTCGCGGCCGACGATCATGCGGTTCATTCACCACATGCTCTCTGCCCTCTCTGAAGCACTTACACCACTCAAACACACGGGTCCGTGAGAGAGACTCTTCCCCATACTGTTGCTGGAGTCTATGGTGAATTTCAGCAGACGGGACGTTTTCTCCAATGAGGAATTTGATCACAATGCTTTGTTCCATGCTCCGCGGTACCTTCTGTTCGCTCATCACTCTTAACAACTCCCAGACAGGACTGAACAGGTTCTAATCCAAACAAGAGGAAGGGTGGAGGTTGTGGCTGCACTCTTTCAAGGTCACACAATTGCTGCGCAGTGCGGCTTGTGTACACACAAATCAGTCGTGGTCATATATGAACCACCTTGTATAAAGTAACATACGAGTAAGGTTCATGCAAAATTTGGTTTGTTTGTTTTTATTCTGCAACTAAATAAGTAGCAGCTATGGTTAGGCATATTAATTGTCATGTAAAAGAACTTTATAAACATATATAAGCATCTTGTGTATTAAAAATATCCATTTGTTGAGAAATGTATTTCTTAGAGCTTGTTAACAAATTCTAAAGGATAGTGCTGCACATCATTCCCACCTGGCAGAATTCAGGATTGAACAATGAATAAGGTTTTTATTATTTGGTTCTTTCATCTCCCATTCACTATCACAGCTGTTATCAGCATTGAACATTCTTCACACTGGATAGCATCATGTCAAAATAATTACCCAAATAGGCAGTTAAATAGAAGCATTAAAGATAAGAAACTTGAGATATAAAGAACATGCATTACAGATTGCATTGCTTGATACATTATTTTAGAGCATCGTTTGTGTTATGAATCACTTGGCTTTAACTTGCAGCTATTGTGTCTGTCTGTCAGTCAGTGAGTGGTGCTACTTATTTTAGTGAAATACTGAGTATTTTGATAAGTTATACTGATAGCTTAACGGATAATAAAGTTTTTCACAATTCCATCTGCACCCAGTCCTTGGGGTCAACTCGGCCCCTAACAAAAATGAGTATCAGGAACTTCAAGGGGGTAAAGGGTGGCCAGTGTATAAAGCTGACAGCCTCATTGCACTCTGTGAGATGATTGTCTAGAACATGTGGGAGCGAAGACATCACTCAACCCTGTAAGCCTCCATGGCCTGTTATAGGGATAGCTTTACCTTACATCTTTTGTAACAACTTACTAAAGACAAACCAGACCTTCCAGGCAGAAGTTGAATATCATTTCTAATTAATTTTAATTGCCTCAGGTGATTTGAACAGATGCATAATGCCCTTGGAAATTTCTTTTTGTCTGTCTTGAAAAATGGCTGCAGTTGTTTGCCTAACATACCTGTCACAGCTGTTTATGCATATAGCAGGGCTACTTAATGGAACAAAGCCCTTCTTTATAAGTTAATGGTGAATTTTCTACTAAAGAAATTCCCCACATATTATGGAACCCAAAGGTTCAGTACCATGTTATCAAGTAGCTGCCACTGGTCCCCTTGTTGAAGCAAATTAATTCAGTTAAGTTTCCCATCCTAGTTCTTTGAGATCCCTTGGAATCCCATCTGCACCTGAATTTTTGCAGTTGCATTATTTGTGCATTTGTATTCTGTCACATGCTACATCTTCTGCCCATCCAGTCTTTGATTTTATCATTACAATAATATTTGGGGAGGAATAAGAGTTATAAAGCTAATTATGCATTACTCTTCAGCTTCCATCACTACCTCATTCATAGGTATAAATTTTCTCCTCCATGTGACCTTTCTCAGACTACTCTGAGTATGTACTTTGCTTTTCTTAATTGTACTTATGCTTTCACCCATTAAATTAACATCATCAACATAGACCAGAAACTGATGTTCCTACAGGTTCCCTTGGACATTCCTAATACAGTCAACTCTCGATTATCCGGGATAATGGTGGGGATGTAAATCACGATTAATCGAAAACCCGGTTAAGACAAATTTCATTAAAAGTAGTACTGTAATACTGTACCTTCATAATACTATAGGCCTACCTGCATTTAAATGTATTCAACCTCATTTTTATGTCATCTCATGGCCTATTTAATACTTTTTTTACATTACACTGAAGTATGAATTAGTTATTTCAATCACAGTCTTCGACAACATCCAACACCTTTTATGAACATTCACACTTAACACTTAAAAAAATTTAATATTGTCGTTTACTTTTTCACGGCATTTTCCTTTTTCTGTTGAATACTTAACACAACACGCTTCCTTTTACAGATTGACATTTTGCTAACGCACTTGAAGATCAATACAAAGATACTAACTGGGGCGATGTATCTGTCCTTGAAACTTTCCACAAATCCTTGCATTCTTTCACCCCTACCCTAGAACATTGTGTTAGCATAACGGGACCAAAGAATGCAGAGCTCGGTTCACACTAGTGCGAAAATAGTGTTACAACTCGCCATGTGAAACAAAAGTGAATGAATGTTAAACAACATATAAGCCTCAAAAAAGCGTCAGTAGCCCCGGATAAGCCGCAAACCGGTTAATCCGCCCCCGGATAATCGAGAGTTGACTGTACCATGATCAAGAGCAAAATTCAGAGTAGAGAGCACCAAAGCATCTCCTCCTTTCAAATGTATCAGACTTTTTTTTAATTTTGGAACAAATCATGGTATTATGAACACAGTATAAATACACATTTACACTATGCCCAAACAAATGATAGAAATTTTAAAATTACATGTGATTCTTCAGAGAAATAATTGGGGGGGATACTCTTAATGAACTAGGTGACTTGTATGTCCGTTGAAGGGATAGGGTAATTGAATCATGGTGATGAAGTATAGTATGGTCAGAGAGATGGCAGGATGTATATAGTAGTTTAGTGGGGAATCTCTTAGAAAGCAATCACTCACATAAGATCAGAGTGAACTAGGAATGTGCTTTTAGGTTGCAAACTAAATTAATCCAGTTTAGGATTGAGTCCATTGGCTGGCCAGAACGTCTGTGTTCAAGTGCAGGATAGTTAATTTTCTCCCTTCTTTGTTCTTGAAGGTAATATCTGCAAGTTAAGCCAAAGTATAGCTGCTTCTGGTATACATGATTGTTGTATTGTTGCCCTGTCTCTGAGTCAGCAGCAGGGATAAGAGGAAGTAGATATTCTCATATGGTATTCAGTCTTCAGTTTTTTGCTGCTGTACATTTCTTTTATGTACTTGAATAAGTTCACACTATAGCATTTGTAAATGTAAAATGTAACTGCTTGGGTCAGGGAAATAAAGAAGATAATTTGCTGGAGTTTGAGTCCTGCATAGAAATAGTATTCAAAATATTGTCAATAAAGAAAACTAAGAACAGCAGACATGGTAGGAGACAAGAAACCGAAACATTAGTGTCAAGTACTAACAGAAGAAAAGTAGAACAAAATCAGAGCTTCACTTTAACATTTTACTTGTAAGTACCCTAATGCACCTTGCACAAGAAATGGGATTATCAGAACAAGACTTGGTACAAAGTTTCTGAAACTATGCTGTAAACGTGCACACCTGTTTTGTACAGCCAGTGTAAAACAGTAGGCAGTCTTTATTGTGTAAGTGGTCACTTCAGTCAATTATGAAGGTTAACTTTATACTAAATCAATTTTTTTGTCAGGCAGACCTGGTATTGTTTAAATGAACATGAGAACACAGAAGAACAGACATTGGGGCATAGATAACATTATATACACAGAATTCCACTTCATGATGTCAGAGTTGATATTTTGTTTGCCCTGAGTTTATGGAGAGGAATTAACCCTGTGTGTTTTGCATAAGCAGTGTTGGTAGACACTACAGTAGTTTTAATGCAGCTGATAGACAAGGAAAAAAGACCAGTCATTTCCGACAGCATGTTGCCAGCCATTCCATGCTCACTTTATATTCATACTATGCTCTATATTGTTTCTTTTTGTGTGGGTATTTAAAAGATGAGGTCTATCAAACCGATCCACACATGGAGGAAAAACTCTGAGAAAATGTGCAGCTTTAATTGACCATATATTCAGAGACAATTACAGTGTGAGGAAGAATCTGTTTAGAATATTTGGGAAATGTATGTGATCCAATGGGGAACATATTCACTGTGGTCATAACTGATGCAGCAGTGATGGTAGTGTTCTTGTATAGTGGAAAGACCTTGCTTCAGCTCAGTCCATAAATAATCTGCTTTATAAGTAGGTCATTAAAGTATCTTACAGCTTGTGCCTGGTAACATGCAAGCTCTAAGGGGCAAGAGAGACATATTACTACAATAATTTCTAGCATATTAAATTTGAAGGAGGGGAGGGAACACAGATGTGGAGGATTTTATCCAAGATTTACATCATGAATGCAACACATCTAAGTAAAAAACTATATTTCAATAAGATATTCCTAAAAGAAGTAGGGTTTTTGTTCTTAAAAATTTCTTTATATATATATAATGTTCATGTGAAACACATGGTAATGAATGTAAAATATTTTGTGCCATTAACTGCATGAAATTCTCAATTTTTTATGGTAATGTACTGTGTAGGTGTTCTTTACAAATTATTTTAATAGTGTGTTTGGATGTTCAAAGAACAAACATGAATTGTGTGCGTATATAATGTAAGATCAAACAAATCTTAATAGAATGTTTATATGTTAATATAATTATTTTTAATACCTAAATAAAACATGAATTTTCAGCTTGTGTTGTAATAGAATTCTTTTGCTTTTTCCATAGAACATTTCGTTTAAATCATACAGCCGGGATTCGGGTCATGGAGGCTCTGAGCAGGAGGATTCCCCTCGTTCTCACAATACGACTACGCTGAACAGTCTGAATAATCTGCGGAGCCTCAGCAATAGCAGAGACACACGACGTCAGCCCTACATGCCACCAGACTACCAGCAAGGTATCACCAATGATCTCTCGGTCACAGACAAAAGAGTGGGCCCTACTGACAGTGAGTGCATGACTAAATATTGCCGGGACCATGAACAAGACCATTCCCCAGTTGGCCGTAATGGGGAGAGTTTAGCAACACAACAGAATCAGCCAGCCACCGTTCATGTTCAGCATGGAATATGCACAGCCAAAAAGTCGAACAATTTTTTACGTTCAGCCAGTCCTTGGAATCACACTTACACAGAGATACGTGAGGGGAGGCCACATGGACATGTCCTCACGCATGCCCACTCTCACACCCACACTGTTGCTTCATCAACAGGGCTCCCAGATGATGATCCTGTGTATGAGGAAATTGAACGGAGTGAGGTCCAAGTGTCTGACATGAGTGATGAGGACGGAAAGAGACAGAGCGATGTGAGTCGACAATCATCACGTAGCTATGGGGATCATCGACCCCTGATTCCCTATAGCCCTGCCACTGACAGGAACTTCCATTCATGCTTGGATGCAGCATTTAAGCATCAGCTCAAGGATCACGCTCGTTATCATCCAAGTCTAGACAGGGACCTGGAAGAGATGGATTTCTGTGGCCCATCTCCAGGTGGGTTCCACACAACAACTGACCTGTCAAGGCATCCGCCCAACCCCAGTGCTTATGTATATTCTGGTGAGAATGCGCGCACAGTTGCTGTACTGGATGGTGAGACAGTGGTGTGTCATCTCCAGCAGCCAGATCACCAAATTTACCCCCATGATTCTTATAACTCCAGAACAATGGTGCTGCCACCTTATAGTGAATGCTAATGGTACTGACACCTTACGGTGAATGCTAACAGTGTGAGTGCGTGAGTGAAAGAACATAAGCCATAGGTGATAGTCATAGCTCAATTGAAAGTGGCATGACTTCGACTCACCTGTTTGGCACATGGTAAATTGAAATTGGCATATGCCCGTCAGATGACCCGTGAGAGTTTTGTAGATCCCCTTGATTTGCTGCTTGAATCATAACTCCTAATGCTTTGTCTATAAGCACAGATTATCAGAACCTACCAGTGATTTGTGTACATAATGTAAATAAGTGCTTTGTACATGTTGGACTATGGATACATTGCTAATGCAATGGTTCATGATGTGGCCCAGTAAATGTGTCATATATCTGTGATGTTGCCTTGATGTACATGGGTTGGACTGGCTGGCTCTCAAAGACTGGAAAACTTGTCAAGTACCGTATCATAAACTTGCACAGAAGTTTGCAAATAAATTATTTAAGAGTTAATATGTTGTGTTTTATTTTCCTATTAAGAATGCTATTGGTCCATAATTATGACTTCAGTCTTTTAGATTTGTCTGTAGCTTAATACAGGTACATTAGTGAAGTGATAACTGCAAATTCACCACTCATTTGTCACAATGGAGGCATGTAAGTATGTATCTTGAATACCTTCATGTTTAATGCACATTTCTTCATAACTTTTGACAGTGTGTAATGCACAGGGAATAATCTTCAGTGGAGGAATCAGTGGTTTATGGACAGGATAAGTAGTTTTCAGGTACTGTACTGAAAGGAAGAGGGACAAATATGGACCAATGTACACAGCAGAATCGAATGAATGATTATACAGGACAACTGGATAATCTAAGCAACAAGGGATGCTTCAATTTTGCTAATGAAGCTGATTGACAAAAAGTGGACACTCATCCGTATGTGGGGTCAACAGGACTGTTTACTAGCCCCTGCACCTTGATATGGCACCTACGTGTAACAAGAATCTCTGATGATACCACATGCAGGAAGAGGGATTATCCTACCACACATAAGAATGTATGGTTGGAGTTGATAAATATTAGAAGGGCCTAAATCAGTCTTTAGTAGTGAGGACAAATTTTTGAAGAGCTGTAGTGAAAATACGGGCACATACTGAATTCTCTTGTGATCTGAGTGCTTGGGATAAATATAGATTGCCTCAACCATGTGTATATACTTCATCCAATGACACTGGGTTTTTTCAACAAAATTTTAAGAAGTGATTGACACAGCTAACTTGAAATGTCAAACAGAGAAAAAGCCAAAATAAATATGACAACAACAGAAAGGTCATACTTTCGTGCTATCCTTTGTGATAGGAAAATTACTCACTGGTATAGGAAAATAGAGGTGCAAGTTTCAAATGTTGAATTCACATGACTTGCATTGCAGAACTTGAGAAAAAAATGTACAATTTCAAGCTTCCTGTTATTCAGCACCTGTTATCTTCACACTACTATAAGAATGACACCAGAGCCACCTAAAGCAAGAAATTAGCCATCAAAAGATGATGAGAAAACATTAAGAAACACTGCAAAGTATGCTGTGAGAAAGGAAAAGTGATTTTTTTTTCTTACAAATTTCTGCAGTGTGCTGTGGAAATCCTGGACTTTGTTTGGAACCTTGTTCTGGACAGCTTCATTGACAGTATTTTTCGGGTGTGGAGCATAGTGCAAACAGCTTTAACATTGAGTATTTCCCTTGAACGACACTTATCAGCAATGTAAACTAGTTATGCATTTTTATGTAAGAAGTGTTTTGTCATAAATTTATAAGAGTGCTAACTGGGATGACATAAATCACACTTTCTCAATATTGAGGAAATGGGCTTCATTCTCATGCAACAGTAATTGAAAGTTATGTAATTTAACTTCCATTATTTTGTAAGGAAGAGTGTGCCTTGTGTGTACTTTTGAAGGTTTTGTTGGCCATAAATGACGGGTTATGTGCTTATAGTGGAACTGAACAACAGGCCTTCATTATGACTCCAATCTTCAGACTTGCCTCTGAGGTTAGTGCACATCAGTTCAATGATGTCTTGTTTTTTTCTCCAATAAGGGTCTTAATTTTTGCAAATATTTGTAACTCAAGGATGTTGGTTATGCATACATGTAATAACCTAGTGTGTGAAATTGTTGGTTTAGGTCTGGGGTCTCCAAACTTTTCGAACCGCAGGTCACATTAGATAATTCAGCACTTTCCGCGGGCCGGATAAAATGAGAAATTAATAACTCTAGGTATATGAGTTTTATTGAAAGCACAGAATTTCATAAACTAAATACAAAGTACATGAGAATAAATTATCGTATATTAATGACAACAGACAGTAGCAGCAAATGCTCATATTTTCATCACAAATTATAATAAAACAATTAATGAGAATGATGGAACTCTTTTTTCATTCTTAAAATCATATTAAATTGAGGTTCAAATTTTGAAACGCTAATCACATGTAGCGA